TGCTGTTTCAGGTGGGAGGTGAAGGAACACGACCCACCTTCTTCGAGATGGCTGCGGCTCAGCAACTTCCGGCGAGCCTTCGTGCAGCTCTTACATATTCCCTCGGCGTAAAATTGAAACCCTAAAAATGCTCTTCTCTTTTAGATTCGAATTCAATAAATATCTGTGTTTGATTCTAAGTTTTTGTTTGTTTGTTTGTGATTTTTAGGTTTTTGCTTTGAGACGATCGTTTCTCCATAAAATCTTAGACTACGAGGATGAATTCTTCGCTTCTCTGATGCTTATTCTTGAAGGTCATAGCTTACGAACCACAGGTAGATTCTGGGAAAACGTTTTGATTGGAGGGGTGTGACTGTGTGTATTGGAGTTTATGTTTATAAAAGTTTGTGTTTTTGTGAATTGTTTTCAGATGCTTCGTTTGCTGAATCATTGTATGGTTTGAGGAGGAAATCAGTGAGATTGAGATTGAGGAAAGACAATGCTAGAAAGGATTCAAGCGAAGAAGTTCAACATTCCGGTTTAGAGAAGCGCCAGAGAATACTCTCTGTTGTGTTTCTGGTACTGACTCTATGCTAAATGCTAAAACTTTGTGAATGGGTATTCTGTTAAAAGCATAAAGCTTATGCCTTAAACTTGGTAATGCCTTTGTAGGTTGTGTTACCGTATTTCAAGTCGAAGTTGCATGCAATATATAACAAAGAGAGGGAAGCGAGGCTCCGGGAAAGTTTGTGGGGAACGGAGGATCAAGGATTTGGTGAAGCTGAGTTCTTCACAGGGGAGGAATCAATTGTTTCAAGTGAGAGCAGTGGGAATCAAGAGCTTTCTGTTCGAGTACAATTAGCTACGAAAATTAAAAAGTTTATAGCTGTCTGTTACCCTTGGATACATGCATCCAGTGAAGGTAATTGTGGATTTTTGTAGAGCATGGATGTTTCTGACTGCCTCGTAGCTGATGATTTTTTATGATACTAAGGAGCAGTTCTTAGATTACACTTAGTAGCTTCATGCATAGAGTTGCATTTTTGGAGGATAGTGCATTTGGTTTTCTAAAAATGAAATTACAATCCATGCTATTAGTGCACGTCTTCATGGAATTCTGAGTAACGTACTTTATCCGTGCGTTGTCTTGAATATGATATGAGGATTCATATTGGTTCTCTGGCATCTTTTTGTAGTTGACTTAACTGGGAAGATGTGGGCTGATCTGGACTTCACTGTGCAGGGTTATCATTCACTTACCAGCTCCTATATTTGCTGGATGCTACTGGATTTTATTCTCTCGGGCTTCAAGCTCTTGGGGTTCAAGTTTGTCGAGCTACAGGGCAAGAACTGGTATCCACTTCCTTCTTTCTGCTTTCTTGTTTGGATTGTCCTAGAAAATGCAATCATGTTTGTTCTGGAAAATGCAATCATCTTTTCTCTAGCATGATTTATTATGCGTCTCATAGAATTCAGGAGTTTGACATTTGTTGGACAATATATTTAAGAGTCGACCATTCATCCTTTCTCTTATTTTACTATGTCTAACACACTTTTTCTTGCTCTTTTGCTCTTTTGATGCCAAGATAGATGGATACATCTTCAAGAATTTCAAAGATACGGAACCATGAGCGTGAGAGACTTCGTGGTCCTCCGTGGTTAAAAGTAAGATTTCACTTTTCTTGAATAACCTAAGGAATAAGATAGGCTGATTCCTACTACTGCTCACACTTTATTGATCCAATGTCTGACAATGTTGTTTTGAATATTGAATTAGACAGTGCAAGGGGCACTCCTTAGCTGTTCGTATGCGGTGCTTGACTATGCCCAAACCGGTCTAATTGCAGCAGTTTTTATCTTTAAAGTAAGTATCCATAAGCTCCCAAGTTACGAGCATCTTTGTTTACTGAATGGTATTCCTTTAGGATATGACGGTCCTGAGCTTAAATTACAGTAGGTTAAATTGTATATGCAACAGACAATGCTAAAGCCATAAAAGCTAGTTTACCATTCTTTGGCGTCTTTGTCTCTCTGTAAATTTTTAGGGCATAAACATAAACCGTTTGTTTGGTTTGTTACAGATGATGGAATGGTGGTATCAATCAGCTGAAGAGAGATTATCAGCTCCAACGGTGTA